GAATTTTTCATTTCTTTATTTCTACACATGAAATAATATATCTGCTAATAATTGGGAAAATTTCTTCTTGTAAATTCATCCTTAACGTCATATTTTTGGGCTGAATTTTCTCGGTGGTTGGTCTATCAGACGTGGTTCAGCATTTTGCCATCTTCAGTGTCTGTACTAACTAAAAATTGTAATAATATATAAAATACTATATTTTTGTATTTAAAAAAAATCCTTTCTTTACTAATCAAATATCATGTGCCCTCAAAAAATGAAATTGAAATGAACAAGACGCACCCTGTATAGACAGTATAAACAAAACAGTAGATATAAAGGGACTCTGATCTTACTTTTTCGATCAGAAGTTACATTCAACATGTAAGAATAAGTGAGAAGTTGGAGTTGAATAATTTTAGGGCAAAAGGAAGAAACACTGGCGTTAAGCCGTCTTCTGTGGTTTTATTTCTTATATAATATAGTTAAGTACAACATTGGCTTCTGTGCTTCATTTATTATATTTTAAACTGCTTTGAAAAAAAATATTGCTTCCATTTATCTCATTTTACTCATATAATTATTTTTGTGTTTGGATTGTTGAAATAAAAGCTGCGAATTAGTTCTAACACGGTTTTCCAGTTTTAAGTAAACCTTTTAGGTACTTGATGGAAAAATATTACCCGTGTCAGAGCTTCCTTGCCAATGAACCCTAGGAACCTAGAAAAAAAATTTAGCCGATTTAGGTAATTTTAAAAAAATCCGTTTTCCTACCTTCGTATTTGAGGATTATTACGGAGGATAAGAAAATTGTATTAAATAAGTTTAAATATATAAAAATGTAAAAAATTTAAAAATTAAATAACAATACAAAATAAAATTAAAAAACTTCCAATAAAGGAATTGAAATTAAAAGTAATTCGTACTATTCCAATCGAGTATGGAATGCCAAAGCCCCAGTTTTAGGTTTGAACTCCTTTATATATATATATTATGCAGGGTGGGCGACCAAGACCCGATGGGTTAAATGCGTGGGTAGACTCGTACCCCGTCCCTAAAAGGTCCAGGACTTGGTCGGCTCACGTGTCCTGCATAAACCTCTTGGACTTGTTCACAAACCCCAAGATTTTGGACCATTTTATCTCCGGGAGTGATTTGGTGATGACCTCTCCTTCAAAGATTTCAAATCTAGACCTAGCATACCTATCACATTCTGCGAGGTAGTGCTTTGCCGTTTCTTCTTTTATTTCGCCGAAGCGGCAATTTGAACTCCTTTAGAACTGGACCAAAATGAGAACATCATGGATTTATATTAAATGTCATTTATCATTTGGCTTAAAAATAAGTCCTCGATCCAACGGGATTTTCCGCCAGGAATGAGAAAATGTCCATCCAAGGACCATCGCAGAAACTAACAGCAGAGCTACAAAACCTAGGGTAGTATGATAGTAGAACTGCATTTTGAACATCACAGACTCTGGAGAAGAAGAAACAACGGACACCACACCACCTTTGTTGGTGCGAGGCTGAGCATAGAGAGGACAAGTCAAAGCTTTAAGGATAAGAGCCGTTTACAGGGCAGGTGCTAAAATAATGCAGATTTTAATATGGTAGTAAATATTTATTTTTAATCTTTAAAAATAAAGAAAATTATTCGAAATAAATTCTATCACAATCAATACATTTTTGCCAATGTGTAATAACCGCTTTTATTCTGCTAACATAAAATTTTTATTAAAGCCTTCCAAGGGGTTTTCGGCTTCACCGTGTTCTCTAAAAATGTTATCCTTCAAGAAGTCATCAAAGTGCCTAAAAAAGTGGAATTCTGTAGGAGAGGTCGGGTGAATATGGAGGGTGCGTTAATGTTTCATAATTAAGTTTTTACGTTGCCGCAGTGTTGGTAATACGACATGTTGGCGTTACATGAAGAAGTCCTCTTACCAATGCGGGACAAAGACGTTCCAGTTACTCGTGTGTAAATTTTTGTAAATTTCTCGGCAATATTTCTCTGCTGTGTTAGTTTACTTTAATAACTGCTGGGGTTGTACACTATAATTTCCAGAATTATAATACCACATGTCACCATAACTTTTGGGGTGAAGATTTGGTTTCGGAAAGTGTTTTGTTGCTTCATCTTTGTCCAACCATCGACCTGTACGCGTTTTGTTATCAACAGAATCCATTTCTCATCGCACGTTATGATTTGATCGAGAAATTTAATGGCGCAGCAGAAGGGACGTGCCGATTTTAAAACGTCCATTTCTTTGGGCTTCGGTTAGTTCGTGCGGTACCCACTTGCATTTGACCAATTCTATTCTACCGCGATTACTCGTGTTGTCTTCCATGAATTTTCTAGTCGTCCAGAACGAAAGGCCTACCACGACCTTACCTGTCTCCGAGATCGAAATCTCAGAAACCATCGGTGCACCGTGCATTCCCTAATGCTTCTCTCCCCCCAAACTCTACTGATGTTATGTGCGGTTTGGGACGCACATCGCTCAAGTTTAAATTCGTACAAATAACTTTGACGGAAATCTAGTTTGGTCATATTTAATTTCGCAGGTCCTCACTCTTATAAAATTCAAAATAATGAAAAATGCTTTCATAAATGATAACACTTAAACGTAATTAAGAAGAAGAAAAAAGTAACTTTATTCTGGGACTGTTGTCCCTAAGAATAATATATACATGAAATAAATAAAGGAAGTTTCTTCTATGAACAACAGAACTTTAACACAAAACATTGATTATCGAACACGGCTAAATACAATATGACTCCCATTTCTTTTAAAAATCTTTTCTCTTTAAAATTCTTTAAAAAAAAATAAAAATCTTTTAAAAATGATGCATCCGTTATTTCTGAGTGAATTGAAAGTTGTTGTCTGTGTGTTTAATTTTCCATTTTTACGAGTTTTTAAACAAATTACAATCGATATTTAGTGATCTTGAGTTACTGTTTGGTGTGATGTAGGTTTAGAAAAACATTTTCTTTATCGTGCCAATGTTTCGATTTTTATTGAGATCATCTTCAGAGCCTGGGATTTACAAACATTGTTTGGATTATACAAGTGCATTTAAGATACGAAAATGAATTTATAGAATGATATACACAATACAGAAATTTTAAGAAGGAGAAGAAGAAGAAAAATAAATATATTCTGGTACTGGTGTCCCTTAAGAATAATATACATGAAATAAACAAAGGAATGTGTGGTGTTTATTGACCGTTAGTTAATGATTATTTGGAGATCGTGAGATGCGGTCTGGTATGACGTAGGTATTAGAAAAACGTTTTCTTTTCCGAGAAAACGTTTTTCTAAAACCTACGTCACACCAGACCGCATCTCACGATCTCCAAATAATCAATAAATAATTGAAGTTACTTCTATGAAATTAAAAATAAAATGAAGTAAAAATCTTGGCACAATGAATACAAGTAAGACAAGCCATAAGAAGAAATAACAAGTGTATTAAACAAAAATATCAAATATTAACGTAAGGTCTCTGGAGGGAGAGGAGGTGATTATACAGGTGGGATTTAAAGGAGGAAAAGGAAGCAGCGTGACGAATAGAAAGGGGAAGGGAGTTCCAGATTTTAGGGGCTCGGATCAGAAAGGGTTCTTTGGAAGGTATGGGTTGTATGTTGTGGAAGGATAAGGTCAACTGGGGATGAGCGGGTGTTACGAGTGTGATGTAAGGAGTTGAATTGGAAGGATTGGGTGATGTAAGGAGGACGACGAGTGTGGATGGACTGGAAAAGAAAGCAACCTAGGAATGTGCACGGAAGGAGGGATAGAGACAGGGATGTTGGGAATAAAACCCCAAGACGCGGGACCCCGTGGTGTGCCGAACACGAATCTTACGCATCAATTCATAACGTTTCAATCGTGCGATCACCCCTCCGAGGAATCACCGTATGCCACGCAACTGTAATCGAGGAAGGGAAGTATAAGGGAAGATGCACGGACTTTGCTGGTGGAGAAAGGTAAGAGAAGCCAAGACTGACGAAATAGGCGGAGGGAGGTGATACGAAGGCGGAAAATTTGGAAAATGTGAGGATGCCAGGAAAGGTTTTGGTCAAAGACTATTTCTAGGTTCTTAACCGAGGAGCAGAAGGGAATGGAATGGTTATTTAACATGAGAGGTGGGATGCTCGGGAGGGAATTGAAAAGTTGCCTGGAACCAATAATTACGGCAGTGGATTTGGACAGATTGAGGGCTAGGGAATTTTTATGTGCCCATTCGTTGATGGAGTTTAAGTCTTTTTGGATCTTGAAAATGGCCGAGTGAAGATCGGAAGGGTGGAAGGATATGTATTTTTGGGAGTCATCGGCGTATAGGTCCGCCTATTATAATAAACTAATTATTATATTCCATAAATTAGATTTGACGATTTAGCTTTGTATACAAGACAAGCACATGCGTAAATAAAACAAATTTTCAAAACCTGCATTAATTTGGCACCAACCCAATAATAATTAATTTGTTTAAAGGCTTAGCATCATTTTTAGAAATCGTTTTTTTATTTTTATGTTATTCTGGAATATATTATATAAATATGGTCGAAAATAAAATATTTTGATTTTGTGTTTAAAATTGATTGGTATTGAATAATCGGTAGTTGTATCAGCTGTCCTAACTAATTTTTGCACATATTTTTATAATTACCGATCATATAACTGGTTAATTAAATGATGAATTTGTTTCAACAATAGAAAGGAGTGAAAATCAGTAATACCTGTTGATTATTAATTTTATTCAAAGTTTATACTTTGAACAGTAAATAGTAAATAGACATTCTTTATAGTTGTTTGAGCTTTTTTCAAATTTTTCATGTAACAAGGAAATATCTAGGCGCTCTAATATTACTTCACATAGAGGCGCGTGTCTGCCAAAATAATTGTGGCGGTAAAAAGATGACAGAAATAGAATTTTGGAGGGTGTTCGGAGGAGGGCGCTACTCGGAGGGGGCGCATGCACGGGAGATGCGCGATCTCGAGCCAGTGCGTTCCTGCTGTTCGCGGTGTGAACGTCGGATTACAGCTGCCGCCCGTTCCGCCCTCAGTGCCGTGACGCGTGTTTTTCAATTGGAGAAATTTTAAATTTCTCTTTTTTTCGGTCCGTCTCAAGTGAGAAGCGCTTTGTGCCGGCGAAGTGCCCTTCGACACATGGGAGAAAGCTCACCTTGATTGGATAAAAACCATCCTCCAGAAGAAAAGGTAGAGAGACAACTTTCGGATGGAATATTGATGACAGCGTGATTGATGTCGCATTTTATTGATTTTGCCTCCAGCCTAAATTCACATTTTATTCTTATATAAAAATGTTCAAATAACATATTTCAGAGCTTCTCTGAAAGTCATGTACCGAGAAAAATATATTTACAGTTTTAAACATGTATGTAATCCTTCATATCTATCATTCCACAAACTATTATACTGATCTATATAATTTAATTATAAAGTGATATCAGTACTCACTTCTCCTTTTAACTATCACGGTTTATTTATAAACGTTAATTAAAATTTAAATTTAACAACCATTGTTGACGTTATTGATAATTCAAATTATGTAAATTATATCTAACTTGTTGATTTTGTATAAAAATTCCGAATTAAATTAAATTTTTCTAGCAATTTATTATATTTATTTTATCAATAAGCCTCTCGCAAAATACAATTTACATTGGCATTTCTTTTAATCAAAAAAATGTAAAATCTTTCTAATTTAGAAGCCATTTAATCAAAACGAAGACCGTTAGGAAATGTTTCTTTTTAGAAAATTTACCACATTTAAACTGAAAAGGTCATCTTCGTCCTCGTTTATTTAAAAAAAACATCACTAATTTGGTTTTGTAGTTGAGAATATAATTACAATTTTGACGTTAACTAAGGATATAAGGGGGAAAAATACATATTCTGATTAATTTTTTAAAATCTACCAGTTAAATATATAATTTCCGATTCTGCTGACAAACAATTTCATTGCATTAATTTATCTGACGTTTTGTACTGAAATGATATCAAGTTTTTTTTAATCTATTGCTCTCTCAGTAGTTATTAGATGTGGTCCAGACCACAACGCTGATAACAACTGAGAGGACTTTATCTGCATAAGTTGTTCGATAAATCTACAAAACTTTATCTATGGCGGTTAAACGTGTTGATTAACAAAATGTCTGTTATAATGCAAAAATAAATTTCATCCACGAGATACCTACGTTTCAAAAATGACGTGATATTCGTGGTTACAAACGTTTTTTGCACATTTTTCGAAAACAATTTCTAAACAGTTTTTGTTTTTTAATTCCATAATATTTCCCTTATCTACAAACATGATATTTAATTGGTGCAAATTAAAACTAAGAGAGGAAAACTGCGTAAGAAAACAAAATAAAATGCAGATTGTTTTATGTACCACTTTAATAGTTTTTTGTTTACACATTGCATAAACAAATTTGGTCAATCACCAACAGACAGTTTTAAAATTAAAACAATGGATTTTTCGTAAATAATTTTTATACATTTCTTTTAATTAAAGCTCTATAATTACCTGCCTTTATAAAAAAGATATGTGGTTGGGCAAAATTAAAACTGTTTCTTATTTTTAAGAAGTTTAAGTTTTTCTAATTTACTTTATGTAGATAAAACATATTTACTTGTTTCTTTTAGTAGTCACAGATGGGAAAATAAACCGTGTATCGTTCTAGAAAACTTAATAAATTAAAAATAAAATACAGTGTTGTTCTCTTCCCTTTAATAAATAAATTTGGTTTGATATGACAAACAAATAATGGTTTTAAAAGAAAAACATTTAATTTTTCGTAAACAATTTCTAAATATTTTTAGTTAATTGGAGATCTGAAATTGCCTGATTTTATAAAAATAGGAGGTTGGAAAAAAATTAAAACTGTTTCTTATTGTTTTTGGCAATTTATTTTATGAATATAAAAGCGTTTTACAACATACTTTAATTGTCTTAATTGTTGGTTTAAATAACAAGAATAATCTCGTAACGACATAGAAAATGAAATAAATTACGTAAAATTTGATGTAATAGTTGTTCTCTACACTCTATAATAATAAATTTGGTTTGACATGGCCACTAAATAGTGTCTAGTTTTAGAATAAAGAAGTTGGATTTCTCGTAAATAATTTCTAAACAAAATATGATAATAAAAGCTCTTAAATTGTCCGCTTTTATAAACAGATATGAGGTTGAAAAAAATATAAACTGTTACCCATTTTATTCGCTAATTTAGTTAATTAATATAAAACCGTTTTCCTCCATATTTTAATAGTTTTACTTTGTTGAAAAAGGGGAGGGAATCTCTAACACCCTAGAAAATGATATAAAATGCAGACTGGTTTTTGTAATAGTTGTTCTTTTCACCTTACATAAATAAATTTGGTTTGAAAATCATCAACAAATAGTAGGTTTATTAAAAGAATGTTAGATTTTTTGAAAATAATTTGTAAATTTTTTTTATACTTAAACCTTTTAAAATGCCTGATTTTATAAATGAAATAAATTGGAAAAAATTAAAACTTTCATAATTTTTTTTGCTAATTTACTCTATGAAAATGCACAATTGTATTTCGCACAATTGTATTGTTGTTAGACTATATTACTAAATTTGGTTTAACATTACAATGACACATTGTGTGTTCTTAAAATAAAAACATTTTAAATAATTTTTGATCGTTTTAGTTACTTAAAGCCTTGAAATTTCTCGTTTGTATAAAAAAAGATATGTGATTGGAAAAAACTAAAACTATTTCTAAGTTTAACTTTTTCTAAATTACGTTATGAAGATACAACAGGAGTGAATTTGCAATTTATGTATCCGTTTAAATTATTACAATGAAAATAAATTAGTGATTTAAGCAACGTTAAAAACAATTAATTACATTTTCTACTTGTCAAAACGAACGGGCAAATTGAAAATTAGAGTTTTAAAAGTATTTGATTCTTTTATTCAAAAAGCTCGATTTTCTATTTTATTTTAAAAGAGCTCAACGGATTTATAATATAATTAAACTTTGCATTGGCGTTTCTCAAAATCAAAGTCTACCGATTAATCGTTCATTCTGTTTTAAAACGGCACACAATTATAACAGGAATCAATATTTCATTTTTTGACATTTTTTTGTTAATTTATCAACAAACTTTATTTAAAATTCTAAGATGAGAATTTACGTATATTGAAAAAAAAGGCAAATATATTAAAAATGTTAATAATGTTTATGATTTTCAACACATTTAAGCTATCGCGATTTAAACATGTTACTGTTTCACGTTGGCAGGAGTGTTTTTCGTTGTAAATACCTTTAAAACATAATAGAATATAAAGGGTAGGAAACCAAATTTCTACAAACAATAATGTATGAGGGTTTCAAATTGAATTTTAAATTATTATCACGTTTGCATTAGCAATAGTAGCGGTTTTATTTCATTTTCCATTTACCCTGGTCCGCTCACGCTCGTCCGTTCGGTCTGTCATATTCATTTCGGCATTTTGTCATTATCAGTGATTAGTATGTTAGTACAGTGCGGTTCGGTGGCTGTTTTGTGTGAGGTGAGTTGCCTAGTAAAATAATAAACAAAGCCACTACAAACACCTGGATGATAGAAAACTCAAATTTTAATTTTTTTTTAATCGACGTCAAATGAAATTTTTAATTTTTTTAAATTGCTTTAAGGTTATATACATTAGCCAGGGTCGACGTCGAATGAACGTGATTGTATGACCGAGAGTCTCAACCATGCTAACCACTCGACTACCGCGGTCCCTTTAAGAAAATATGAAATATCGATTAATAAAAGCATGTCGAAATTATTTAATTTAAAACGATGAAATTAAAAAAAATGTAAAATGCAATAATGAATATTCTTTCTTTGTTTAAAAAAAATTCAATAAATCCTGTTCCGATATTACTACATCGTTTTGACCACACAAAATACATTATAAATAAATAACACAAGAAATAAAATGTACATATACACCATATATGTTCAGGTATATGTATATATTATAAAAATAATATCTAATAGATCTTCCTTTTCTAGGGAGAAACAGGTAGTTTTATTGCATGTCATGATAGATTCGTGTCCCAAGAGTGTATTGAGAGTGAATATTTACTGGGGTGAAGTATAATCTAAGAGGACCGGTACCGGGCTATGAGAATTTCATCCACCCTCAATTAGTTTAGTTTAAGTGTAAAAGGTGATGGAGGAATATCGGGTACTCCACCTCCTTCACTGAGTGAATGATATATAAATCAGTAAGAATGTATTTAAGGGTGAGTAACAATGTGAGTGGCCATAAAACTGATTGCGAGTGGAGCTGAAGTGACCTAGCTGTTGATAGGAGACCTAGCCCTGGAGCCAAACCACGACGGCTGGACGGACAGTATGACGCCGGACTGAAAACACCTGGATGGTTGATGCCCGAGGTCTTCCCGTCATTTATTGTAAATTACAAAAAAAGGAATTACCGGTGGACTGCGAAAGTGATAGGCTGAACGTTTTAATGCGTGGATGAACATGCTTGTGCATTTTTGAGCTTATTCTCTGACAGGCAAAAAATGGCCACCCTCGTTTATTTTTAGTAAATACTTGCAATCGTTATAATTAATTAAGGTTTTTCGTTGAGATAAAAAAGTCAATGGCACGAGCGGGATTCGAACCCACGATCTTCGGCTTGATTCGCCGCTGCTCTACCACTTGAGCAATCGGTACCTCGATCCACTCGGACACTAACTTCCCATCTCAACCCCACCTTTTGAATTTTCCCTCCTTTTTGCCATTGTTCAAATGTCGTGTAATCGGATTGGATTCTCGACGACAAATGAAATGGCCACGGAGAGCTTTAGTGAAGTATACTTCATTTTAAATCATTAAATTCACTAATTTCGTGGTCCGCTTGACCAATTAATATATTACAATTAATTAAGGTTTTTAGTTGAGATAAAAAA